ACTCCTCCATCCATGCATTATAATGGGCACATGTAAATCACCTCATGTTCTCCACAAGTCTTTGCGGCAATTTAGAACAAGTCGGCAATAAATGTCTTGCTCACCTAATTGCTTACTAAAAATAAACTAGCAAAGGTTAATATCGAGCAATGTAGTGCGATACAAAGAGTGTTCTGCAAACTTTTATTATTCTCCACATTGAATACCTTGTGTAACAGCATTAGGAGTTTTTATGAATATATCCACTATTTTAATACGATTGTGCTATTTTTTACGATTCCAAACATGTGGGAAGAAAAAGATTTTGCTCCACCTCCCTAATCTCACATGAACCAAGCAGCGGCATTAATCTTTGGATGGCGTTCTGATCGTCCAAAATGCAACACGCTCCGAATGGAATTTGCTAATTAAATCTACTTCTGCCATTTCAACACCATAAAACAAACATTTATAGTACAATAAAAGAGTTATTGATAGATGTTCTATTTTTTGGAATTTAAATTTTTGGAATATGTCCAGATGGGAGGCGCAAAAGCGGTGCGACCTGATAGATTTAAGGTATCCTTCGACTACTTTATCACAGACTTTTTAAAAGTCTTTGAGAAACTGCTTCGAAATGCGGCGTAAGAAAGCACAAGTAATGATGAGCCGTCTAATTCATAGACTAGTAAATAATAAGGCTTTTGAAGAACAGGAATTACGCATTTTGCAGTTATCTTTATGCAAAATCCTTATCACCGAGTTGAGACAAACGAGGAAACTCATATTGTGATGCCTACATGATATGGTACTGAGCTAAAATTGTCGGTAAATTTAGACTTTTTGACTGGAGCTCAAAGGAAGACAAAGGCAGTCGTCTTGCGGACAAAATGTCCACAATTGAACATTTATCGCTTTGTAAATCTAAATAAGTGTCTTGACTGCAAAAACCGCCGATGGAATTGCAACAAGAATTGTGCAGAGCTGCTCATTTCCAGCTCAGAGAACCTAAGTTAAAAGCAACACAGTGGTTTAATGTCACAGCCCTCCTATTTACATAAATATTTGTATGAAAGATTAAATACTGTTCAAATAAGAAAAAACCCAAATATCGCAGTTTTTAGCCTTTAAGTTGGCATCCCAAAAATATTTCATATTTGAATAATTTTCCGTACCTGTAAATGACATTTTTGCGTGTGGCCCGCGCTACTTTCAAAGGAAAATATTTCTGCCTTCCAATTCCGAGCAATCCACAGCCAATAAAACAGTCTCATTTAACCCTTTTTTAGATTCTTTCCAAATACTGGTCTCTTGCATGTGTAAAACTTTCACTCATTATTCATGCTGGGGCTCAGCTTAAATCCTAATTCAACCATAAAACCATGACATCCTAGTCCATTAGGGGACGCAATTTCTTAGCTATCAAAGAAGTGAAACGGACAGTTTGAAATATTAAAGCTCGTGGTGGTAAATGTAAAATTAGTAATTCGCTTCAAATAGTTGCTACTTATTACCCCTATGCCAAGCCAATCATTATAATACCCGGTACATATTTTAGATTCTCACGATCTACTAGAAATTCCTAGTATGCAAATAATTTGTTTTATATCCTTAACATTCAATTTAACTGGAGATTAAAGACCGTCCGACATTAAAATTCTACTGGGATTCGGACAAACATTAAATCTTTTATAGCACCCGCTGATCGAGCCCATGCGTTGACGGTGGGAATACAAAATTCACCCAACCTGGGCTTAACTTTAGTTTTCTGAAAGGCAATACCAAAGTTTGTTACAATCGAGATGAATTTCTCAAAAAAGTTAAACATGTAGTGCTTAATAGAAATACAATAGTCCCAGGAGAAAATTTTCATGTAACAATGTAGTTACCTATTAGCTCAATACTTAAGAGGTCAACGTGAACTAATCATGTATATGGCAGTGTTGGGATCAAAAATAGGTTGCTACCGTTTAGTGAGCAAAAAAATTTGGTGTGGTCTCACTGACCAGTGATAAAATATGGGTTTCATGCTTTTTTATTGCAATGCAGTTAATCTGACGAATATATCATTGGCTAACCCCAAATGTATCACCACTAACACCACCCACTGCTCACCTCATTCCCAGTGGACCATTGTCCATAATTATGATTGAGTCAGTAGGGGTGTCAATGGGGGGTTAGTGAATGAGACGTGACAAATTGCAGGTGCAGTTGGTGCCAATGTTTGATCTTCCTACCAAAAGCCTTCCAAATACGACGGAGGTTCAACTGAGTCAAGAGAATAAGAGTGCAAGTTGAACTTTTCGCGAGAAACTGAACATATTTGCCTGGAGGGCAAATTCAGTCTATTATGTCTCTCCCAAACGAATCACAATCTATACAGTCAGATGAGTGAAATGATGAAAAACAATGGTTTCATTTTTCCCCGAATTTTTTCTCATTTGATTAGGTGGAGTGAAAATTTCCATGCTTTTTATCTCAGATTAGTCATTGAGTATTTTTTGACTGTTTTTGCTTCATAAAGACCTGTGAATTTGAACTTATGCGATCAATTTCTGGTAGTGCTCTGCTTAGTTACGTGATGGCGGGATTTCTGCCGCCTAAAGGGTCATAAATTCCCTTTGTTGTTAGGTTGGCAGATCCTTAAATGTCTTTGTCTGAACGCTATTAAGCAAATTTCTAATCTTCAGAAGATAAATTAAAATGTTTCGCAGTTACGTCGATCTTGTAAGCCAATTGTACCTTAGTAACATTTGAAACTGTGAGAAATTATGCTTATTTATTTAATGCATTTACCTACGCATATTCTTTATTCTCCGCTATTTTATTTAAGAACGTTCCAGTATGTCTATAGCCTTCCAGTCTCTCGCTATAATTGCTCTGAATTTTCTTTCACGTTGATAGATGTCGCCGCTGAAAGTGATTGTCGAACGAAAAGGGGTTGAAATGAAACATCCAAAATTTATCCTTATCTTCGAAACCAATACAGCTCAGAGACAATTTTTCCCTTCAAGGGATGCAACAATACTGCGATGATACAAATCATATAACTGTTCTTGCCCCCTTGTCAATTGCCCCTCAAAAAGCGATCCATTAAGAGCAACGGTGAAGAGAGATTCCCAAGAGCGTCAGCGATGACATTCAAGAGAAGAAGGAAGGCGTGAAGAGAAGACACTAACCACGTGAACCCTTCCGTCTCCGTGGACTTGGATCGCTATCCCGTTTGTTGTTTCACAGCACTCTGAAATGCAAATAGAGAATAATTTTCAAGCTAATACGCGTTGATAAGGCCTTAAAGATGGCTTAAGACGGTACCTGCTATAGGGAATTGTAGCAATGTAATCGTAAATGTTCGGTATTAAAAATTCCATTTCACTTTTTAAAGCGCATTTGCGTTTTAGAAAGTAAAAATGATGAAATTACAGTTTCGCTTTTATTTTGGAAACAAATCTTTGTGACTTTCTGTAGTTAAGCTTTGATTTCGTTCAAGGCATTTCATTGCTAGGAATTTGCACATGTAAGAAACTCCACTTCTTTTTCCATCGAATTGATTGCACCCATGCATTTTTAAGACGTCCTCATCTTTCAGCATACATTTTTTTGGTAAATTTTTTCCTTGGGATAAACCACTGCGAAAATCGCATTTTAGGGACCTATTTCTCAAGAATTTCATTACACAATATTTTCCCTTTTGTTTAGGAATAGCCACCGTCATCGGTATTTGCTACGTTCGTGGCAATAAGCACGTAAAATGTGCATATTTAAAATCCTCAATGGACACTGGGGAGGAGGGGATACGCCGACACCTCATTCCCAACTTCGGTCGTACCTTCTCGCGAAGTAATGACCGGTTAAAGAGAACTGTTTTTTGAAAGTGTTCTGTCAGTACCGCTAAAATATGGACGCTAATTCACCTTTCCCGTAACACATTTTAGAGAAAAAAAGCTTGATTATTTGTAATAATATGAAGGAGTTTTCGCAGTTTCTGTAGCTTATTAACAATGCTTCCTGACCTATTATTCACTTTCAGGCCAAACAAAGTTTTGAAATTACGAAAAGCTACTAGTAGCTAAAGCCACTGCAAAAAGTCTAAGCATTTTTTGATATTCCAATTTGTGGAACCTAACTGATTGAGTAAAACATTTTATCAAATAGTCTAAAAACCATTTAATTGGCGCTTTTGAATAGGAATTAGAAGTTTGTAATTCAGCACAAGTAGGGATCAACTTACTAAATTGTCAATGGAGACTTTTACTACTGGATAAATTATGGACAGGAATTGTTTCAAACTTCCTCCACATGGTAAACATCCATTACTGCTTAAAGTTTTGTGTCAATTTATCTGATTTATTATGAGTTTATGTTTTCTCTTCATTTTTTAACTAGAAAGAATGGTGAACTAAACTTTAGTGTGCCATATATTGAATAGGTAAAATCACGCCTCGGATGCGTGATCCATTCAACCCAACATTTTGAACGTTCAATTACTTAACCGCCTTTTTTTGCATTTTCACCATCAAAACTAGAAAAGGTCTAGTTAGGCTTGATTAAATGGTGTGGAACCAAACTACTGCTTTTTGAACAACAGAAAGTTCACTATTTTTGTAATTTTTGGAAATAATAAGTGTGAGTATTTTGAGCTATCGTGAAGGCATTATAGTTCTATAGAATGCCCAGTTAAATTGACCGCCTGGCATTTCCTCCTGTTTGAGAACTGTATTGAGGAAAGGGAATGTGCTAACCACCTCGTATAGCCACCCCAAGTAGTAAAACCTTGGCCTAGGAGCAAAGCCGCACAATAAGGGACAAGATTCAAAGTAGTCCCGTGAAGACCAAATTTTGTGTCTTTTCCTCCTTGTCACCTTCTTCTTACTTCACTACTATCTGGCCACGTATCCCCTTATCTGAGAGGTGGGGAAAGTTTCAGTCATTAGCTTCATTGTAGTCTTCATACTGGTACCGTAGAGGGCTCCATAAGGAACTTTGGCAGATGGTTCACGGCTAGTGTCACCTCAGTTACTAATGGCTTTTTTTGCAGACCACGAAATGGAAATAGTTGCAAAAGGTAGACATCCTTTTAGCCCTTCTGTTGGGAGTCACCACTGATTCTCCCACCCGTAACATATCCACTTCTCTCCCACTGAGGTCAATCACTTAGTATTAGAAATCTGGATAGATGTTAGTAAAGATCGGGTTCGCTATCCACTGCAGCCACTGTAGCTCCCCGAGACTTTTTTGAAGACGGAAGAAAACACAGTACTTAGACAGAATGTACAACTTTGACATAAATTAAAGCTCGGTACTGCTGACATGGCCTGGAGGCTAGTCCACTCGACAAAAATCAACAGAGGGCACTCGGTGGCCCCTTTACCGAAATCGGGAGTTAAACAAACAAACAATCCATTGCATCTAAAGTTAAATACAAAATGAAGTTCTTCAACACGAACTTGTTCTGATAGCCCCTAATCTTCCGTTAACCGGATTAATATTTCAATCCCGTTGTGGTCCACGAATGATGATTAAGTAAAATAACTGTAAAATTTTGGACTGCTTTCAACTAAACGCATTGATTCTCACGAAGGACTCATTAAATGGATTAAATTTGTTAAAAATATATAAATATTCTATTATTAATATTATAATTATAATATTAAGACCTAATCTATGTGATGCAAATTCTTTACCTTATACTTGTTTCCACCTTGTCTGTGAGGAAATTTTCCGCATCCGACTGCCACCATCGGAGGCGCTGAAGTCTATGCTGGAAACAAAGCGGAGTTACGTACCCTGCCAATGTTTATTGTAAACGTCAATCGAAAAATCTATCAAACGGTCTATTGCATTATAAGCGCAGCACAATTCGTACATATTTCGAGTACTTCAACTGTGTATTAGGCCTTCGCTTACCCTGCATCATATATATTTCTTTGTTGAAAGGTAAGACATATTCCCAAGGATACACATACCAGAAGCTGTAAATCAGGCCTAGAACCTTTAATTTTACAGGTATATGAAAGAATGCTACCGTGGTGGTACTGTGTGCGGGAATAAGTTGGGGTGGACCCGATTAGTAAGAGTCTTTGCAACTGCCGTGAGCCAATTTAGACACCGTTCCTCAAGATTGCAGACAATAGTGGTAGTGCGTGAATGTGCAGCGTGAGACAATGAAGTTTCCTGTGAAAGAATAAATGTTTTTGGCTCAATTTTGTAAATAAATACTTGCATTTGCAGAAGATTTCAGTCGCAGTATGGTGTAGTGATAGATCGCTCAATCGCTAAGCAGGAACACATTTGAACAATGCAAACCTTTTAAAGACAGTCCCACACTCGTGGATCGGCGAAGATATGGGCTATAATAGATCTTAGTCAAAAACAACCATTTCTGTGAGCATTTAGTCTTAGTAACACAGAATCCTAGATAAATGACAAACTATCGTGAAATCGGAAAAGCTACAAATCTTTCCGTAAAAATTTTGAACATAACCATCTCAGAACATTTCAGCTTGTAGGAGGTTTGCCCATGCTGGATACCAGCATTCTTAACCACCTCTGACCACCACAGCAGGTTCAGATGTACTAAAAAATCTTTCTGCGTATTGCTTGGACGCTGGAACCAATGCAGTAATACGGCAGAGGAGTTTGAGGGGAAAATGGGAGTTTCGTTCCCAGAAACTAGCTTCTTTATAATTTACGAACAAGGGTCTTACTTTAACTTAAAAATTTACCTTATTACCATCATCACTAGGAAAGATTATAACTTTGAACCCCAAGTTATTCAGAAATTGCAAGTAAATCATTTAATTCTTTCATTATTGCAATTAAGATTGCACAACTAACACGGTTTTAGCATTATGTTATTTACACTTCTTGTAGATATAATTATGTGTAATAAATGAAAGCTACAGTTCTAGTAGAATGCTTTCAAAGCATCCAGTCCGTCCATCATGCGTGAATCTTCCTTAAGTAAAAATTTGGAAATGCAAGTGGAAAGCCAACTTATTCCATGATAAGTCTAGTAATTCGTTGCATTTATTGCTTTTGTTATTGCTGAAGTAACTTGATCAACTTACGTCATCTTGTAATCTGTGTTAAACGGTGGTGTATAATTGGCTTAAAATAATCTTGCATCAGTACAGAAAACCCTAATGCTTACGAACGTTCCTCGGTTCATAGAGGGATCTTCACTTTTTGGAAAAAGTCTTGACTCTCCCTATTTTTTACTCGTTTCTTTTGTCAACTTCTCAATATTAACTCGCAAGGTGTCATTTTGTCTGCATGTCTGAGTTAAACCTAGGTGGACCAAAGACTTCTATTTCAAGGGAAAGACCATTCTTTGAAAGGTCTATTCAAAAGATATCTGTTTAGAGTTTTGCAAAAACGGATAAATTTGAGCGCCCATGTCATCTTACTTTACTGCGTGCTTTACTGCCACTGCAAATGCACTTTACCTAGTCTAGGATTAGAGCTTTCTTTAAAATTTCCATAGGTGCAATAAACATTGTTTCTTCGAAGGTACTAAATTACCTAAACAATCACTGAGATCCAGACCAAATTGTTCAGTTGCTGATATAAGTGAAAATTTCTGATGAAAACCACCGAAAACCATTGCTTGACCTGCTACACTGAGTGTTCAATGTTGTCTACTTCTCAGTGCATGCGATCATAAAAATCATTGTCTACGCTTACCAGGTTTATAAATGCTCATTAAATATATTGTCATTTTTGCCATTAAATATAAGAGAATTTCATTTTTTTATTCTAAAGTGCAGTCCAGATTGGGGAAACACAAACCTAACTCTAAATAATTTCAAAAAATCAGATGGTCTTTTGTTGACGAAGTCTTAAATAGTGGTGGAAACCCTTCACAACATGATGGAACCTTCTCATCACAATGTTTGCCACGCCTGCTCATTAAAACTAACTTTTTAACGGGTGTATGATCATAAAATAAACAGTAGAGAGGTAGCTGAATTGATTGGTAGTAGTGCGTAAAGCATCCCAGGACATCCTAACATTTCATTTATCATGCGGAAATCAGACGAGAAAAAAAAGGGCGTGCTTGATGCTTTCCGTGTGGCATATCTCGAAGGTCAGGCTAAACAAAATTCCTACTCATGTCTTTCTGCGTCAATCAATTGATGCGATCTGTTAAAAATCCTGTATTCGAGGTCTTTAAGAATCAACTTCAAAATGCCAAAATTCTCATTTTCGCTTAGGTACACAATTTCACTCTAAGCATTCATGGGATGCAGGTTCAATTCATATGGAAGGTTACAAAATATATGCCTCAAAAATTGTCCCTAGTCAACTTTGCTCCATTAAAGCAACAGAAATTAATCCCAGAAGTTAACTAACTTTGCGATTTCCCCTTTCAGTGTGTAAGCTTATGATACACCACGCAAATGTATAAAGATTAGCCCTTTAACTACATTCCCCAGCTTGCGTTTAAGCGACTTTACAAAAACTGCTTTATCTTTACGTTTGTTAGCACTGAAAAGTGTTTTAACGTTTTTCCTGAAAAACGGTCAAAAATATGGGTTATTCAAAGTCTTGAGACTGAGCAGATCATTTGAATGATAAGAAAAAGAAAAATTTTTTTACCGAAAGTTGGAGTGTAAGATTCGCGACAAACGTGTTTATAAGGCATTTTTATTAATCTGAGTAAATGCCTTCTTTGCAGTGCAAACCCTAGCAATAAAATGAGAGCAAAATTTGTTAGTTGAAAAGTGAGGAGGTTTCCGTCACATCTTTCTTTTTAGCTTGATGAAACATCGGAAATCATGCAGACAACTTATGGAGACCTGTTAATGGCAATGTAATCACTCTTGACAGCTTGGCAAATCTTCGAAGCAGAAAAAGAGTTCTGTTTTCACTAGAAATAGTTGTTTATATGTCCAGGATCAAATTCCGGATCTATTATATCCAAAATCGGCGAAATAATTTCGCTGAGAATCCAAACATGTCACTATTTTATTTTACACTGCTGCTTTGCTATCATCAAAAGTTTTTTCTTGAGTAGACTCAAAATTGGGGCCTTTTTATCAAAAATCGAAAAATAGTTGCAGTGGTTTAAAATGGAAATCATCTTCTTTCTCTTAGCTTTTCATAATAATTATGCGAAAAATTTTTTAACTAAATCTGAAAACTAGGTATTTACCTAAGTTTTGAATTTCTTGCTGAAATTAGCTCTTTTTAGGTATGACAATAGGACAATCATGGGGTGAATTCACATGAGTGAGTTGACACATCAAGTTAGTAGTCTCTAATTCTATGCAGTTCATTCAGATACCTCATTTCTTATTGTTCCTCCAAAATCGGCTTTTTAATCTTATTTTAATAGTAAACCACAAGTTAGTCACATACTGGGTCGGCAACTTAAGCAGAATTTTTGGGCAGCCGAAATCTTAGACCATTCGCTGTTTCCTACCTTATTGAGTTCTCCTCGTATACTATAGACAACGACCCATTCTTTTTCTTACAAAGTACGCCAAATTTGTCAAAGACTAATGCCAAAATCTAGGACAAACGCTTGCTTACCACCCTATGAAGGGTACTTTCTAATTTGTTACAGAAAACACAACTTCTTTAGTAACACTTCTGAGGGGACTAATGAGACATAATATCCCTTTATAAGGGACTACAAAGAATAGGGTGAGAAATAGGTACATTGTGACTAAAAAAACAACAAAGTTGATTAAGAAATTGTTTTTGCTTGATTATTTTCCCATCACTGTCATAAGTGGTTACCGAGGGAAACATGTTGCATGCCACTGCCTCATTCTCCTCAAACCTCACTATCGAGAGTAGTCGAAACTTTATTGGTTGAGTTGTTATTTATGGTGGTCCTTCAAATATAGAAGCTGCTTTTTTGAACTTTCCTGAAATGTGAAAGCATTTAAATAGGTATGTTTAAAATTACATTTCCAAAATTCTTAACCCTTTCTCGAGAGTTGCATCTTTGAGCTTAAAATAGCCAGCCGCATTTCGTGTGTGTGTAAGATACTCATATCAGTGTTTAGCACCCCGAGCAACCTCAAAAGCCACTTCAAGGGAGTGATTCATAAGTCTCAGATAGAAGGACCAGGAAGGTGAGGGCATGGATAAGAGGCCACGACGCCGACGTGTTAGTACAATCGGGAGAGCCCAAGAATGCTTAAGAGTCAGCACAATAAAATACACATTTACAAAATGCAAGTTGGCTGCAATTTTACCTACTGTCTTCAAAGATTGCAAATTTCAGGGGTTCCGGGAATTCAGACGGATTTAAAGCACAAATTTTGATGTGGGCTTTTTCTCCTATAACCACCTATACATCTGAGTTTGACTTAATTTTTACTTTAAATCAATTTAAATGGAAGTTAACCTTTACAGCATACTGATTAACGTAAGGTGTGAAATTTTTTTGTTCGCATTTGCAAAAAAACATTCAATTGGACTAATGGTCCGAAAAAAAATTTAATTGTTGTTTTCATTCCTCTTCACTCGTTAAGGCCTATCTTCCGAGATGATACTGGGATTGTTTTCATCTTACTAGGTGTGGTAAGCAAAAAATGCTGGCATTTCATCGGTATGGTGTCAATATGCAGTAGTCTTCAATTCTAATGACGTATTCATAACTTTCACCAGATTTTTAAGTCAATTTCCTCACCTTTTGGGGAGAAAAACTTTGTGCTTTGTCCCAAAATTAGGAAACCGGCACGCAGTGCGGGCTGGGAAACGAAAAAAGTCAAAACCTCATTTAAAAAACAAATTAATGCATAAGCAAACTTATTTTGCATAATTGCAAGCACACAGTTACCTGAGGCGACGGAGAACAAAGAAGAAACTGATACTTGATATAAGGATATGTTCTTCTGCTAGGTACTTGCCTATCCTTTTTGAATAGAATGGAGCGTGGAAGGCACAATACTTCTTCCAAATTTCTATTTAATCGTTCTTTAAACCATTTTTGTTTCTCTGGTCTTTTAACTACATTCGGAGAAGCTCGTAAAAGCATTAACAATGATATTCCCCCATTTATTTGAACTAGTGGTGAAGTACAGGTGACAGTTATTAATAAAAATTTATGAAGTATAGGGTGTCTTTGTCGCAAGTTAGCTGCGTTTTCCTCCTTTAATCTCAACACTCAAGTCATGAATCAAACATAGATGATGTAAATGGATACATGCTATCTCACTGAATGCCTCCAAATCGCCTTTGCATGGAATTGAGATAAACATCTTTCCTAGTATAATAAGAGAAAATATAAAAGTAGTTAGGGTTTTAACCATCGGTGACGCTTGTTGAGAATAGAGGCAAGTGATTACTACTTTACAGCCGCACAAGTCCAAGGTAGTTATTAAATCCTCCGTCAATGGAATGAAACATGAGAGGATTTGGGGAGATTTAACAGGGCAATGCTCACAATTAAGCAGCTTTGTGGAATTTGGTTCCAAATTTATGCTGATTTAAATATCTCCATCCATTGTATTAGAGGTTTTGTTAAGGTTGCCAATAATAAACAAATTGCTACACACTCAGTGTTGTAAGAAAGCCAGGAGCAATTGAAAAATATCGCCGTTTTGCAAGAGAGTTATTTTTGAACTATAGTAAATTGTACAATGGCCTAATTTCCCATTCTTGCACTATGGTTTAATAAATATTTTGCTTATTTTTCAAATTACCGGTTTATTATCAACCAGTGAGCTCAAATCATTTCGTGTAAGCAATCTTAACGCAAAATAAGCTGTTATCCCTTATTTAAAGTCGCATTTTAAGAAATATGTTTATTTTTACAAGAAATAGTGTTATAAGATCTTCCTTAATACTTGGGTTGACAGCTTTTACTTTTTCAAGGCTTTCTACTTTCAGCAATTGCTTTACTGTCTTAAAATTAGTATTTTAGGTAAGATCCGAAGCGGTTTGCTCCAAAATTAACCCATAATGTGTTTTTGGACAAAAACGTAGTGAATTAAAACAAATACGGTAAATGTTAATGAATAACTGACAATGTTTTAAGCTTCCACCGCTCTACCCAATTTCTTACAATATGCTTCCACATGCTCTGAACCTGGAAACATAATATACCTGTATTATGCTGCATCACACTATTTTGATGCCAGTAACTTACCTCTTTTAGAAGTGTGAAAAGATATCTACACACCATAAGCAGCAGGTTCCAAAAAAGCTTGCTTTTGATAAGTTCAAGAAGCTCTTCATTAAAACCTGATATAAATAAGCGATATCTATGTTTTTGCATTTTATTTTCTATAACTAATGACCAAAATACAACAAAAGCAATGCTTTGATTAGTTTTTAAATCTTTGCTTCGGTTTGGCAACCACTTAAAATTTTGGTGTATACCTTTTCTGGAATACGTGGCCCCTTTTACCGTGTCAGTAGTCCCTAGCCCTTCTGAAAGACTCGTAATGCTGCAATGGTGGCAGCAAAAAGCGAGCCTAATCCTCAAGGAGAGAAAACCTAATTTTTACTAAGGAAATCTAAACATTAACGTGACAGTAGAAGGGCATATTCCATGGATGGGAGAATGTGTGAGGATCATAACAGAAGGGTTAAAAGCGAAGTCAAACTTCGGCAACTACCTTAGTCTTATGGTCTGCTGGAAAGCTACTAACAACCGAAGCGACACTAGCTATGAACCATCGGGAAAAGTTCCCCACTGTGGTCTGCGGTAACTGCATAAAGATGTCAATTAGGTGGGCTTGCGATACCTCCTCCATTAGCTGGATAAAGCCCATTTAGATATGGTTGAACAGCAAGAAAATAGGAACAAAGTGGCAGGGGGGACTGACGCGAAATCTTATTTTCACAAACCTACTTTAAATCACACTCTTTATAAAATACCTGATTTTTGGATGGTGTCATTACGACTAACGATAAACATACGAGAAAGTCTGCACATTTTGCTTTCCTCCATACAGCTCTCAACCAAGTACTGCTGCCTTTTCCGTTAGATGTATTTTCGATGACCGATGCGGTTGTTTCCTGGGTGTTTCTCTTACAGCAGAAATTATGTTGTAATGACCGACGTAGGAGATTGACCAAGGGGAGCGCAGGAGATGAAGCTCAAAAGAATAGAGGAGGTCTATGCAGTGCTTTGAGCATTTAAAACCATTCTTTTTGGTTTTGCATACACTTAATGCTCCGCTTTTGTACTTATGCTAGCCGTCATGACCTCCGTGTCAAACCAGTGGGCTCCAGCTCTTCTGAATGACTCAAAGCGCTACAAAAATATTTTTGCTCATTTTTTTAAATTAATTAATAAGCGAATTGGCTAACGTAGTCTCTGAGGTCACGAACCGACCTTTACAACGTTCGTGGGCAGAGTTCAAGAGGAAGGTCGACTACCGCAACCCAGCCATTTTATTGGTCTAACAAAATACCAGTTGGCATTAGTTTTAGCAGGATGTAATTACAATATCAAAAAGTGAAAAGTGAAATCATTCTCCGCACTTATGTTGACAGCTTAAACTCAACCAATTCATTTGTAACATAATTTAATATTGATAGAGGACGCATGCCATTTTGTGCGGCGTGATGGGAGGAGGTGGAAATATCACAATATTATGCATAAGGGACTTCGGTAGAAAGGGAGTTAATTGCCAGGTCACTTTGTATTTTATAGGTTCACGTCGGTAGGCTCAAATGCATGACCAGTTTGAGAATGGAATGCAAAATCCTCTTTCACAAATAAAAGCCGCTCGCGCAAACAATTCAGAGTGTGAATAAGTGTTTTTGAGACAGATGGTGAACCGTATGGTGAGAAATTTATGCGCGATGACATAAATACTCCCCATTTACAAGCGTCAAAATGGTGGACAGTCCAGACTTGGGAAGTACGATGAGGAAATGGTGTATACACATAAGTGCCTAGCAAAAGACAACAACTAAGAACCAAGATGCTTCACCTCCAGTTTATCCACCTCATCGTTGGTCAATGTTGCCTTCGTGACTGCTCTGCGTGTCTGATGGTTAAAACACCTTCTGACCACTACCTAATTAAGCCATCCTAATACGTGGTTGTGTGACTATGAGTTTTGTCTTTTTTGCAATGAGATTATTCCGAAATCCTTTGGAGAATCTAAATTTTAGTCCATAAGAGAGCAAAAATTGAAAAATTAAGGCCAAGAAAGTGCCGTGGTAGCCTAAATTAATTCACTCATTTAAGTCACAAATAAGGGATGTACCGTCTGTCGGAGAAAGAAATCCCATCATAATACATCTTGATTGGGTACACTTAGCGTCATATAATATATGGCAAAATATTGTTGATTAGGGCAGCCATCAATCTCGTTTCATCCCCCTAAACGACCGCAACGGTTTTAGGTTGTTCAGGTAGCATGGCCCTGAGCATTACATTTAAAATTTGGTCTCCAGTCCTAAACTTTATGTGAAGAAGGCATCCTAATGGAACATATGAGGAAACTATATCAGTCTTAGCGTTGAATCCATCGCCATTGTTCCATAAAGACTGCCACATTAAACTCTTAGACCTTGTGGCTATAGTCTGACGCCACATTATAAAATTATGGCAAAACCTTTTAATACATTCGATCATAGCATTTCTGTACCACGCATAACTTCATTAGATAAGTATCTCTCCCACTTTGGGCCCTGTTGTATGTAATTTTGCCCACCTTTATGGAGTGTTATACGTATTAGTGCCTTCATTGTGATAGCCTGGATCATCTCTTGGTTTTTCAACTTTCGGAAGTTGTAGTCCAGTTTTGCTGCAATAATTAGAAGTTCTGGGTAGCATTCGTCTCGGTCGCTTTTTAGCCGCGCAAGCAATATTTAGAAAGAAAATGAATCATATTCATCTTCCACTTTTACCGCAAATAGTCCGAGAAATATAATTTACAAATCAGGGTGTGCTGAAACACTTTATCATGTGCCAAATTCTAGTTTTGCATTTTGTAGCTAGATGAAGACAAATTTACTGGAAAAAATGAGCTACTGTTTATCAAAAATTTGTTTATGTGCAATGTCTATTCATCTTAAAAGCGAATAAGAAATTATAACGAAAGCTTCAGTTTCATCGGTGTCGGGACCTGTTTCACACTTAGGCTCCAAAATGTGTTTGTATGCGACAAACCTCTTGTTGCACTGCTTTCTTGCAATACCTTAGTAATGTTTCCAAGTAATTATTAGACTCAATCATTAAGTTACTTAAGTGGCCAGTCTTCTCAAAGCAATGCATTTAGTAATCTTCTAAAACAAGCAAAAGTTTTATAAAGTGCTATTGTACACCGGGCTATTCAGTTTGCTTTTCAGTTTGCTTGATTGCAAAAGTAGAGGTTTTGATGGTTTGTCTGGATTTAGCAACTTTAATTATGCAAAATTTTAAGGCTAAAATATTAAGAGAGCCCACTTTCAGCAAATACAAAAGAGCACTTAGCTTATTTTGAGCTAATCATTGAAGAATTTGAATGACTTTGGTGAGAGCAAAACTTATTTTTTCAATTATTAAATTATAATTCAACAGTTCTCTTGCAGGATAACATACTTTTCTTCTAGATGGATCTCTCCAAGTGTCAATTATCTCAGTAAAACCATTACGCGCCATTCTAAATTGGTCAGTTAAAGAAATCGTAGGATTTCGTTTTATAAAACAGGAATGTGCAGTGATACAAGTACCCTTGCAGACTTTGCGAGCATCATTCAATGTTTGAATTAACTAAATTGAAACGTTTTCTTTTGCTGGCGTTATGTTTGCAAATCCATGTTTATATGTTCAGTAAATTATCTTTAAATACGTTATAAAAATTTGTATCAACGGTAAAGCTACCTGTAGGCGCTTATTTTAAGGAAAGTTTTAAAATTTGTTTATGATCCTAATTATGGTCTTGATATAATTTAATGCCTGAACGTGCAATTCTTAAAAGAAATCATCCTTAAATCGGTAAACCTAAGTTTGGTCAGCCTTAATATTTGGGCATTTAATAGCATGTCAATGTTGTTGGTTTGGATACCACCCAAAATAGTTGTTTTATAGTCCGCTAATGGAATTCACCGACTTCATGTCCGCAAATTTCCTCTATAAGTAAATGCTCGATAATCCTACTCGACAATCCACATATGTATTAGTGAATAAGCTTATAGGACACTCAGGATCGTAAAGCCTACAACAGGTTTCGTGGATGCTCTCGATCCCGCACAAACTAATTGTAAAGAAATTGGCGAATCCCGTGGAAGCTCACGTACTTACTTATCTTTTACACGTAGAGTTTAAGGCTTAGAACCAACGGCGATTAAGCGAGATATAAACCAATGACTGCTTTATTGGGGATTAACCATTATAGATGTTCAGAGGAAAAATAAATCACCACAGTATAGACACTTAATTTCTCAAATTAAGTTTTATATGGTACAGTTACAGCATTTTAAAACCAAAGAATGCAATTGTTTCCCGACCTAGAGGAATTGGTCTAAACTCAAGGAAATTGGGATGCCACAAGCAAATAACACAAGTGTCGAAACTGAATGGACCCCAAATATCAACCACATATAAATGGGATCAGGTACATATTGACGCAAGGGGTGTTTGATAACTTCCTTAATCGCCTAATCAACTAGTCGAATAGAGCCACTTCCTGAAGTTGCACCTTGGAACCAAAGAGGTAGGGAGTATCTACGCTAAATTAAATTTAGTCCTAGGTTTGATTTAATCGGTCTAAATTTAAGCGGCTTGAGTGAGAGCTGAAAAATTTGCAGTTTCTTACTCTGCGGTGAGGGTAAGAGAAAGTGATTGCAGTGCCGCTACATTGGATTTCCCGTTCTCATTTTACTTCAGACCCTATAAATCCTGTTTATGGTTACGCCCGTTAAACCAGTTTGTCCACACCTTTATCTGGCTGCATCTTTGAAAATACTTATTCTGCCTTTTTTAGGTTTTAGCAATAAAATTTACATTATCGGGGCATTTAATTTTAATTTCACATATGCATTTTAATTGAAGCATCCAGAAAAACTGGAAACGCTGCTTTTGCTTTGATTTGTCAATCAATGGTACTGGCAACGATTCTAATCCAGTTAAAATAGTTGAGGCCTAATGCAGTAAAAATCTTCCATTTATAGCATCAAAGAGATAGACGCAAAATGGGTTTTTTTACATTTTTTTTCCGATTACCCTGAAAAATGCATTACTTAGTTTGGAATAAATATTAGATTTCCAAATAAACCACCCACCTTCGATAATGAAGAGGAAAACCCCATGATCGACAGTTTGAAAACAAATACAAAACATCAATTTGAGTAGTTTTTGTGTTTTATGTCAAAGAAACAGAGATAAATTTTGGTCTTAAATATTTGACTATTTTAGCCTAAACCCTTGCTGATGAAAATTTATCTTCCTCGATCGGAGTGAAAGAAGGAACGTTGGATGGTTGTTCACCGGCCCCATTGGTGGTCTTGCATGCTGGATGGCTATCACCTCTGACTATTAAAGATTGGCTTTTTACAAAATTTCCAAAATCTACGTGACAGTTCCCATTCTGTTATTCAAGATGGTTTGCAAGTCACAAATCAGTAAAATCGCTCGATGAAAAGCATGTTTTTTACAGTAAGCTTCCTCTCTCTCCCATGTAGTCTATAGGAACATATCATTAGCATTAATTGTAATATTCAGCTCCTTAGACGTTCTGAGGTTAACTTGCACTGCTTTGAGGCCCGCACAAATGACAGCCGAACTTTTGAGTTGACCAAAGAAGTGAACAAATGGCTGGAGTGAAAATGGTTTTATTTCTTGACTTATCCTTCTACCACATTTATGCACTTACTTTGGCGTTTTTCTAGTGCTCGGAAAGCTTCGGCATAAAAAGGTTTGCCACTACGGCTGAATCATCGCCGACTGACCTGAATAACTTCGCCATTTAGCGTGCGCAAACTATTCAAACTAGAACAAATTAGAAAATGCTCCTTCCTTTAAAAGGATTCGTTCTGTGCAGTTCCATGAAAGGCTTTCCGAAATCAGTGTTAACCAACTCGTGTGCTGTTGAGAAACAATCGCCTCGGCCAAAAATGCTAGTGGAAAAGTACAGCTAGCCGTCTTTGAATTATTTTCAATAATCAAAACCCACTTGAATTCGTCTGTAGACACCACCTGGTCCGTGTTTTCTGCTCTTCTTTACCAGAAGTTTATCACACACTCCTGTTAGCCATCTTGATCAACGGTCCTAGTACTCGGCGGATCTGGGGTCACGTGCAGCGACTACAAACAAATGCAATACCGAAACGGTTGTATCACCTTCCATATCCGGGAAATTAATTAATGGTTTGATTTAAGCGTCTTCTGTACATTTTGGACGTCACTGAGAGAATCTTTATTAAGTAGGCCCACATCATGAAAGTCCAGCCTAATAATCGTATGGGCGAATACCTAACAAATTACTTCTTCATTCTCTAAGTCATTTTAACGCGAAGACATGGGAAAGAAAAATATTACACCAAGTTTTATGGTGTCACAACGTGTGCACACTTCTCAGTTCCAGACAATATTTCTATCCCATCCAACAGTGCCAATTTCATTTGAGTCCTTAAAGACGGTAGGGATTTACCACAGGAATTTTCTAGGTTTCTGCAGATATATGATAATTTTCTATGCATTAATTACGTGATTAGCTCAGTGTGCGATCCAGACTTTGGCAGGTTTGTTTACCTCGAATTCGTTTTGTAACGTGTTTCCTTGTCCAAAAATTTATGCTCTTTTTTTAATGGCATTCCGTGTTGCTTCGAGGCGCATCCACTAAGTACTGATGAACAACTGACTTTGCAATCTGGTGGAGACACGCGCACAAACATCAGAAACTATTCCTACCATCATGTAACAAATAACCATTAATAACCGTTAGATTTTTTTAAGTACTCTAGAAATTCACCATTTTACGTGGTCTTTGTTAGCCACTTTGACTCAAGCTTTGTGTGGTAAATGACCGAATTTTACACCTCGTGTTTTGCCTTCCCACTGCTTAATCGCACAATACTAAAGTAAATATTCTGCAAAAGTATGAATAAGTTCTCTAATAGATTTCAAAAATAAAAATAGTAGCTTCTTGTTCGTTGTTAGAACGTCTCCAGTAATACATCATAAAGCCTTAAACAAAAATCAAAACAATGGTAATTTTTGTGCCTCAAGTTGCCCTACACCCGAACCTAATAAATCTTATAAGTCCTTCCATTTGATGATTGATGGTTAGTGGACCTGAAAAATTCATTTTCCTTATGTTCCCAAAAAGTAGTACTGTTAAAAATGATGAGATTTTGTTTTTATTTGTTGACTATAAAACTGCCTAAGAAAGGATGACGGAGTAAAATGGACGATTACTTTGAGATCTGTGGTGGCCATTATTATTTGCATGTTTCACATCATTATTACACAAAGGTGTTTAGAATAGTAGCTGTATAATCTTGCACCTCGGTTAAAACTTGAACACTGTCATGAAAATCGGTCTGACTTAGTCGTCTATGTAGGTGAATGCCAGCCACTTTTTGGAAATAAATTTAAAAATTAGTTGAACAATGGAAATTCAATTTAACTGTTAAAACGCATGTTTTATCATCCCTACGAGGAATTCTTCATAATATGGCATGAATTACTTAACAAAAATCCCACTTAGAGCATTTCCCAAGTCCACCAAAATAGCAGTGTGCTAGCGACATGCTTCCTGCAATCTTAACGTTGAGATTGTAAGTCCACTTTAATGCAATTTCAGTTGCGCAGTCTTTATCTTTATTGAATTGAAGCGACAGGACTTTAGAGTTTTTCCTTATTTTGAGCAATTAGTTTAAAGATCCTATATTTCAATAACATGTGTAAATTGAGGCCGTAATAAAAAGTGACAGTTACTTTTGGTAAAAGTCACTTCTGAATGGTAGACAGCTTTTTATTTATCATGACCAAAGTCAAGATATATATATATATCTTTTCTGCATAAGTTCACCCGATAGTTTAGTCTTCAATTATCTACGGAGATTCACTTGACCATTTAATTTCATTTGCTCAAACAAATTGGACAAGCTTGGCCATTCGCCGAGCTTTGGATCATGCAGTCAAGATGAAGAGTAGGGACATTTATTCACTCCAAACTGCAGGATTCGCCCAACTTTATTAGCCAAAATCCTGTAATTTGGGCACAATAATACAATAACATGATTGTGTATTACTGCTGTCATACAACAGTAAACTCATTCTTGGCGTACGTGACTGATACGTGCGACTCGGACAACTTACATTATGATTGAGACACTTCACATTTTAGCTTAGCAAGCGGGATTAAATCAGAAAAATTGTATAGGCGGTACATGTACTTAAATTCAATAAGTATAAATTTAAGCGCACCTTGCCTTCGTTACCACAAAAGAAACTTACTTAAAATCATGCCCTTATTTTTATTTCGAAAAACAATTGAATCATCTTTGTCCATTTCTGCCCTTAGGAGGTTTAAGAAATTTAAATCGTAACAATTACTTACTTATTTGTGATGTTATATTTATTACCAAGCGTTATACATTAAAAGCCAAAAGAGCAAATGCTACTAGATAAACAGAACTTTACTCCACAATGTGAAGAAAGTGGATCCACCATTGCATAGCATTGCACGTTTGTGCAAAAGCTTCTGGCAAACGAAAACCTTAAGTTAAGAGTTTGTTTGATTCTTGAGCAGAACTCTGAATATTTGAAGGCTCTTCTGTGTTTTCTTGGCTTATTTCGAGTTTTTCTTGTAGTTCACAAACTATTTGTTCCAAATTCTTAACCCGTTCACTCAGTTCATCATTCTTCTTTCTTAAGTCTGTTTCTTCTTCAAATGGTCTCTTATCAAAGCACTCCATCAGAAACCTGCCAAAATATGTATTAAATGGATATTTTTTCAAAAAACTTGGATTAATTCTAACGGAAGGGAAATGTGTTGACTAGTTATGCTGTGTGTGCATAATTATACTCATTTATCGAAAAATAGTGTTGTTTCGGTTAACAAATGTACAAAACATGTTAGAGGATGTTCTTGCAAATACAAAACTGAGCACTGCAAAGCAGTACAGTAGTTGGAGATATTATAATCTCTACTCAAAAATAATTTACCGTTTATATCCTAGAAGGCCAAAACACATAATAATTCTTAAAAAATTTATGTGAAGTCAACTATTATAAATCTACTATGTGCTTTCATACCAATAATAGATACTTCAACCGTCGATATTTTAATCCGTAGGTTATAAGCCTGCTAAAGTATAGCCTTTGATAAAAACTTTTTGCACGTCTGTCGTAACAGTTGCATATTTCTTGTAATTACCTGACTGGGTTAGTTGGTTTTTCTGGTAACTCGAATAATTTGATTAGGGCTACAAACATTGCCGTTATTCAACGGTACATAGACAAGATTACCGTTAGTGATCGCATCCAATACCCCCGCATTTTCTAAATATTTTCTAAACTCCTTTCTTTTAGACGAGAATTCCTTTTGAAAAATATTAGATATTTGAATTTACTGTTTGCATAGCTTTGAATGAATATCAAATAATTAGCACCCAGGATTTGATTAATTAAAAGTCTCTTAGGTCACTCAAATAAAGTATTGAGTATATAGTTACTTCCATTTAGTTGAAAAACTATTATTGCCTGCGTTTAAACCATAAATTTCGGCAAAATATTCTGGTATCTTCTTGTCGAGCTTAAATAGACCATCATTACTTTGTGTGAGACGACTAAGCATGTCACGTCAAAGTACTAAGCTTAGCCCCACCAAACAACTTTGTAAATCATGACCAAATTTAAACATTCTTGCCAAAAAATACATATTTTGCTGCCTATATCCCTTGGAAATTCCTTCCTGACAGCAAAATTTGCATCACCCTGAGCCTTTCCCGAAGTCACTATAAGCCATATTACCATAGCAGAAAACGTACTGAAACGCGCGACTCATCAGTCTCCGCTTCCCTACTCCTCGCCTTCTTAGACAAGCCCAGTTGATTCACTTTGGACATATTTATTAAAGACGACAAGATGGAGAGGGAAATACAATGTTCAAGAAGGAGGGGAGCTGCAGTCACTAGGCACGGGAGAGGACCATCCGGTCACGAGGCCCGAATTTCCTGACCGCCTCCTCCCTGAACGGTACATTAAAACAACATAAGTATTACAGTACTACTTGGGCACAGAAGAGCTGAGACTACTGGCGCAGCCAAAGGCTACGCTGGATCAGAACAAGCCCCGTTCCGGATGCATTTTGAATCACATTACTGTGGCGTTATAGTACGATTGAGCAAATAAGAAATGAACCCTCACATGGAAGTAACACACACGGCGACCCTCGAATACTACAATATCTCCCCACCCCAACGAGAGTAATACAGCGGACTTGAAGCTAATTGCTAAATACAAGCATACATTTAACTACTAATATTAATAAATAAACAACATTGTACACATATGTACACAAGGTGAATGACCACGGCATCCACCTTATTCCGGACTTGCAGAACGTGTCTGGTCATTGTATCGGGCTAAAATGTTTACAAAAAGTATGTATTTGAGTGACAAATTCCTGTAATATATAGCAATGATGTGACGAAGGGGAATGAAACATACCTAAAAATTCCTTTACGAGATCGGTGTTTCGACCAGCATGAAGACCATCAATGATGTGTGGGTGAGATACGAGAGGATGAAGACAGTTCATGAATGTCGGGTCATACGGCGGTGCAGCCACATTGAGGAGCTAGGGTCAAAAAATACGACAAAATTGGCAGTTAAGTAACTTTGGTGAGTAGCTGGATGGATGGATGAATGAATAAAAGGATATATGAGATGGATGGATGGATGGATGGATGGATGGAT